TTATTTCTGGTTTAGAAAAATAATTGTTGCTTCCTGTTGGTCTTTTGGAATTTTAGAAATAATGTTTTCTTAATAAATGTATTCTAACTACTATTGTACCCATGTAATTCTACAGTGCTTAGATATATACATTTCTTGACATATCATCCCACTGCATTTCAACAGTAATACGTAGCTGTTCATTTCATGTCGTTAAATCTTATTCCAGTACCCAGTCGACCTGGAGCAGGTCCCAATAGTAGACATGGAGAGTCAGAGTGGACCAGGTTACGCTGCAGCTGACCGATACGCACCAGCTGAACTCTTTGGTTACCCATCCCGTAAGTACATCTGACCTACTTTGTTGCTTTTTTTAACAGTCTCAGACTGTTCCTTGTTTGTCAAACTAGTCAGTCTCTTAAACTTAATTAGTCTTAAGAACTTACTGACTACTACACATCTTTATTTAAAAAGCATAAAGCGACCCACAGACCTTTATAGATTCCATAGCTCTAGTGTCCACTGGAACTATAGTGACCGGATAGTAAAATTGACCCGAACCTGCATGCCTAAATAATAGGTCAGCACTCTGGCTGGCAAAAAAAGGAAGAACTCTTCAATACTGTAAAGAGACGAAAGCTGAGCTGGTTGGTCCTAGTGTAAGACACGATTCACTGTCATTCTTCAAGGTACAGTGGAGGGAGCACGAAGAAAGGGTCGTCCAAAGAAAAGCTGGCTGGACAACCTAAAAGAATAACCCGGCCTCTCTTTTGATCTTGTTAAGGATATCTGCTGACGGGGAAAGTGGAGGCAATCGGATACACGAAAAGATGAAATGATGAGATATGAATGGAGAAACTCAAGGGGCTTTAATCAATCTGACAGCATTTAATACGTATATTCAATAAACTTGACTAAAATGACTTTAAACCATAGGCAGCTTTAGAAGTGATTGGGGCCCGAGACAGACAGGAAATCACCTGACCCCTGAAGTCTGTTTTTTTAAACACTATATGTTGATATTATTTTGTAGGAATGAGAAACCAATAAGAACAAGTAAAATACTTTTTAAAAAAATCATTTTTAACACTCTACTCTTACAACTATATATTTTTTTACCAAACAGATGGTGTGAGATAATATAATCTTTGTAAAAAAAAAAGTTTAACCCAAGATGCAAGAGTATTTATGATTATAATATCTAATTGCATAAGGTGTAGTCCAGCTAATTGATGACATTGTCTATTCTCAGAGGCGGAAGAACAATATTTGGCGCAATCCCAGGATTTTGGTGGGGATATCAATCTCTACGACTTCCTGGCTGCTCTCTGGAACGAGGCCTATGGGAAAGGTAAATTTTGACCCGACAGCTATCTAATAATTAGCAATAACAAGTCAGCTCAGTTTATGCTCTTTGAAATACCTAGATATCTAGACAGGCCTAGTATATAGGAAGTACGGAAGTAAGATAAATTGGTTTTGTAAGATTAATTGATTTAGTAGCATTCGATATCATATGATAGTATTGTTAGACAAATTTTATTATTGTAAAATAAATAGATTTAGCATTGCAGGATATGTGCCTTTGCTTTTGTGAGAGAAGATATTCTTTAAATAAATAGATCTGTTATGAGGAAATATTTAGGTAAAGAATAGTTAAATAAAATCTAGACATAGTTTTGCAACACTTTTGTATTGTGACCTGACACAATCGAATATTTTACTTGTACTTAGGTGTATGTAACAATGTGACAATGTAACAATGTGACGATGCATAGAACTAGATCTCTAAAGGTCCTCATTGTATTCATTCCTTGCAGGTAACGAGGAAGCCAAAGAGATTGTACGTATGCTGTACGAGAGGGTCAGCCAAGACAATAATCCAGACGACATTGGACAGATCAGAGACATCTTAGGTAACTTGATCCTTTCTGACCTAAGATCATCTGTGACTATGATCCACTATGACCCATTACCCATTGTGACCAAAGACGCAGTGTCGCTTTCAGAACCAGGCTTTCACTCACACCATTATGCTCCACAGCGACAAATTCAGAAAAACTCATTTATATTTTACAGAAGGGCTCAAGGAGCACTGTTATAGGTGATAGGTCAGATAGGCCAGATAGGTGCCTTTCAGCAATGGTTTAGACAGATTGTTAACCCATTAGTCTAATAATCCTCAGTTTCATTCAATTTTGAAATCTGAACAATATTTTTAAGGCATGTGTAGCTTCGAACATTTCTCGTTTGCAGCTCACTCTCCCATCTTTCCCCCACCACCCATTTGTAATTTTAATGACCAGGTCATCTCGGATTTCAGAGTTTGGAGTGCCCTAATTATCATTGTTGATCGAGTCCATGCCTTCAATAAGCATTTCATATTTTGTGTATTTATTGTGGTCTGTGCAGTATAGATTATAGGGGTCAGTACTGTATAGCTTATTGTGGTCAGTTTATAATGATCAATGCTGTATAAATTGTAGGGGTTAATGTTGTATAGTTTGTAGTGTTCAATGCTGTAAGGGTCAGTATTGTATTGATTATAGTGGTCAGTACTGTATAGTTTATAATGGCCAGGTATGTATTTATTATAGTGGTCAGTTCTGTATAGTTCAAAATTGTCAGTGCAGTCAGTATAGCTTTTAAGGGCCATTGCAAAATATTCTATAGTCTTCAGTGCTGTTTAGTTTATAGTGATCAGTGATGTGTAGTTTATAGTGATCAGTGATGTGTAGTTTATAGTGGTCCGTGTTAACATAATCTTATTTCATGTTTCTGCTTACAGTTGATACAGTCGCCGCTTCCCTGAACGAGAAACCGTACAACGTCAGGCCTAACGATGTCATTTCACAAACGTCGGCACTCAAGAACGCCAGGCCAGTAGAAGCTCTTAAGGAAACACCCAAAGAAAAAGTCAAGGAAGAGGCTCTCAAGAAAGTTGAGGAGAACATCGTGCAGGAAGTCAAAGAGGAAATCAAAGAGGCAAAAGCTGAAAAACAAGCAGAGGCTAAAGCAGGTAATTTCACGGAGCAATTGCTTTTAGTTTTATAAACACAAAATTATCCTAAGATTTGTTGAAATATTTCAAGTTGTTTATTTAGGATGAGCTTGAAATTGCTACTTCATATAGTGTTTTATAGGTTGTTGTGTTTTGTGACCAGCAGGGCATGAGAAATAATAGTAGTTTTATGTGGCCCGTGCAGTTTGTAGGGGTCAGGGCTTTATCGTTTATTGTGGTAAGGGATTTACAGTGGTTAGTGCTGTATAAATTATAGTGGTCAGTTTTGTATAGTTCATAGTAGGCAGTACTGTATAATATATAGTGGGCAGTATTATATTGATTAGATAGATAGATAGATGGACAGATACATAGATAGATAGATAGATAGATAGATAGATAGATAGATAGATAGATAGATAGATAGATAGATAAATAGATAGATAGATAGATAGATAGATAGATAGATAGATAGATAGATAGATGGATGGATGGATGGATGGATGGATGGATGGATGGATGGATGGATAGATAAATAGATAGATAGATTGATAGATAGATAGATAGATAGATAGATAGATAGATAGATAGATAGATAGATAGATAGATAGATAGAATAATCAACAAAATGATGTATTTCTTCTATTTCTTTTGCAGAACAACAGAAACAATAAGCAATGAAAGGTTTGTATGACTGATGGACGTATATCTGAGTTGTACAGATGAATTTCCGACTGCTGGATGAATGACAGCTACATGTGAGAAACAACAGAGCCATCCTCACTTTCAGGAGCTTGTACTCTTGATGAAATCTAAAAAGACCTTATCTTGAAAGAGAAATAATCGAGAAAATAACGTTTTTAATGCCACTACTCATGTGTTTGGAAAGGACATGAAATCATTGGAAACAACTGAATGAACCCTTGACGAAACACAAATAAATGTGAACTAAAACAAAATAACAATGGAAGAAAAAATCAACCCTCTAGAAGCAACTAATGTCGAAAATGACAAAAAAAAAGGATTTCTAAACTGAAGTCATCAAATATAATGCGAAATCTGCAACATATTGTCTTACAATGTCCTCATTGCTGTTGCGCATTACTGTGTTTGCATACTGTGTGAAATATTTTTTTTACTTTCTTTCAACTATAGTTTCTGATTTTAGTTTGATTTTAATAATTCAGAATCTTTTCACAATTTTTTTTAAATTTTGTTTTAATTTATTTTTCAAAAATAAATCTTGAACAATCTCTGCTGTTAATTGCTTTTAATTATTTTTTTGAATTGCAGATTTTTTTAAAACAATATTTTAATTGGCTAAAAAAATGTTTGGAAAAAAATGCTAATTGTCTGTGGCTGGTATGTTGCACACGTTTGAGTTATTAACAGTTGCACATTCATGGTGTTGTTGTTAGGCTTTTGTGCTAAGATGTTTCATTCTAATTTTGTATAACTATTTTCCAACTACCGGTAATCTATAAATATATACATAAACCTATACTGATACAATATTAACACTTTATACATTGTGACAATAGTGTTCAAATCAATCTTATGTTTATACCTTGTCCTCAAACTTACTCTAAATGTTTGGTTTCTTTTGTTCAGGTATAAAATAAAAATACTTTCTAAAAAAAGACGTTTGTTACATCATTGTTTACTCTTTTAGCCAAGTATTTATTTCAAATTTATTTTTTTCTTTAAAAATAAAAAAAAATGGGCTTAATTTTTTAATTAGATAAATACCTGCTTGACGAAGGAATGGTTACTTTACTAGTATCAGAAATTATATTAACATCAAAAGAATATCTTTAATCGAGATTTCGTATTGCAAGCGTTCTTTTGCAAAGGCTTAAAGTCATTGCGTCAAGTGGCTAGATACATATGTACAGTGGCCTAGCCAGGGTGAGGAGAAAATTAGAAAATCTCCCCACCCCCCCCCCCCCGTGCCCCCACTTGAGAGGAGCACCCAAATTAGTGGGGGTTTTTTACTTTAAATATTACGCAAAATGCATGAGCCCCAATAGAGGTCAAGCCCCCAGGTCCCCCAAATGATGTCAAATTCCTAGCTACGCCCCTGTATCTGTATCAATCCATCCCTGTTGCATAGAATAAGGATTTGGAGTTTGTTGCCTAAAATAGATATGTTACATTCCTTCAATATCTTAGAATTTAAGAAAAGAATTATGGGACCAATACCACTTCTCAAGCCTTTGAGCTACTACGTCACAAAGGGGAAACAAACTGTGCAAGTTAACAATTATAGTCTAACATTGTTGCTACAGTGTCCACAAGATCATCTTTCTTATATCCACATATTTTTTAACAATATTGGCTATTCTTTTTTTTTTGGTCTACTTTGATTTTAAGTCTTGTGATTGTACCCACATTCTTTACCATACATACATGTCTATATGTATATAAGTGTTATATGATATTTTGTTTTGTGACTGATATACATGTATATAGCATACAAATTATTGTTGGACTCAGAAAAGACATTTATATGTATATAAATATAAACTTTAAAAATGGAATTCTCTCCCCTTTATTGTTTTTCCGTCTTCTTTTGTTGAGAAATGGTAATCTATAATTTGAATACAATTTGCAAATAAAATATTCTAAATAATTGTTAAAACAATTATGAAATCAAAACTTATACAAACTTTTTTTTCAAAAGTAATTTTATAAAATAGGCCTGTTTAATATTTTATATATATATATATATATCAAATTCTTATAGGGGACGAAATTCTATTTTTAAAAACTCTGCTTCTTTCCCTTGTCTTGCGAGTATCGTGATCCTGTGTATCCCAAGCGGTCTTTTCCTTCCAGAAAAGGCCTCAAATAAAATTGTGTCTATGCGTTTGTATTGGTATGGTCTTTGGGTTTCATTTCTTGTTATAGCGTTTTGTTTTAATCGTGTCTAAAGAACACAGAAAAAAAATTGGTCTGAGGAATAGAAATTTTCCTACTTTTATACTTATCAACATTCTAAAATACCTCTAACTAATGTATAAGTCATGTTTGAGATCTCCACATAATGCGTTTGTGTGGCCGTGCTTATATCCGGACTTGTTATTGGAGGAGATACAATTTTAGACATAACAATGTTTCATGGAGACATTTCTTTTTAGTGTCTTCAGTCCAGTTTGGGGTTATCTTTCTTTTTTTTTCACTTCCGGTTCGTGTATTTATTTTCTTACCTTTATCTTTACGCGACACCTTTGTTTCTTTTGATCTCTTTTGTCAGTATCTGTTCCAATCTCTGCGTGACTCTTTATCTGTCAGTCACGGTGTCTTTGTCTCTCTTTCATTCTATCTATCTATCTGTCTATCTATCTATCTATCTATCTATCAATCTATCTATCTATCTATCTATCTATCTGTCTGTCTGTCTGTCTATCTATCTATCTATCTATTTCACACACACACATACAAACTTGCACAGACACAATCTTTATCTCACTATCCATTTATCTATAAATCTTTCTTTTTTATCAATCTATCTATCTATCTATCTATCTATCTATCTATCTATATATATATATATATATATATATATATATATATATATATATATATATATATATATATATATATCTGTCTGTCTGTCTATCTATATATCTATCTATCTATTTATTTATCTATCTATCTTTCTGTCTGTGTGACTGTCTGTCTATCTATCTATCAATCGTATTATCTATTGATCTATTTATCTGTCTCTACACTTGCTCTAATTTATTTCCCCTTGATCTCTGTTCTACGCTCTTAAAAAAAATTCTAAATTCCTAACATTTTAAAGAAGAGGAAGCAATGGAAAGATTGGCATGAAAACATGCGCATTTGTTTAAACTCTGCAATGCTAACACATATATATGGTCTACATGTTGCATATTTACAAGTGAAAAGGGAACAACCGAAAGACAGTCTTAGTTTGAATAGCAAAAATAAAAAATAAAAATATTTTGTGTTGATGAGATTTTTAAAATTACATCTCTATGTGTGGGGGGGGGGGGGGGGGGGGGGGGGGTAATTTGAAAATTTGTACAAAAAAAAATGGTACAGAAACATTCACTTAAATGTTTATATTTTTAATCCCATTCATATTTTTATTATTTGTTTCCAGAAAATATATACTTTAATATGATGTAACCGGTTTTGGTCAAAATGAAAAAGTGAACTAGTTTAAGAAATGTTTGAAATAGAAGAAATAGTACTTGTTTGAAAATGAACTTGACATTAAAATCTTCAGACTCTTTGTTTTAGCGATGATGAGAAATAAACCCAGAATTATTTGAGAAAAAAAAAACAAGCTTCTGAAAATATTTTTGTTGTAATAAAATAAAAAGTTGGTTCTGTAAACTAGAGACTTGTTCGTTTTTTTTCACTTTTGTTTTGTAACCTCCCCTTCTTGTGGTGTGCCTTTGTATTCCATATTGGTCTGTATTTCACGTTGTTCACATTAGAACTAAACGAATTTTTACAAATCCTCCAATCAGGTGCCTAATTCTTCATGGATCCAAAAAGTACACTGGGTGGAAACCGTATTGGTATTTCGAAAATAACTCTAAAAACATTTTCTAGATATTGGACAGTCCATGTAAATCTTTGAGGGTATTTGATATTTAATATTTTGGGTTTTTGGCACTTCGGCTCAATTTAGGCAATGTCGTGCATAATCCCTCAACGGTTATTCCCCCTTCATATATCAAGAACTAAATTTTATACAGTTCAGTCATTAAAAACAATGTTCATTCACAGTTCAGATGTTAAAAATATTAAAACATTTATTAATTTAATAAAAAAATATGTACCTTAATAGCCAAACAGTGAAAACTTTTGTTTTACTGTTAAAATTTGTTCAAACATAATCATCTTAAAATTAAATTTGGCTTCTATCTTGAACAGACTCAGCTGGATGTCAAGTACTCGACTCAAAAATTAATTTTTTTTTATTCAGAAAAAGAGTTGAACAAGAAAAAGATTAATTTTTTTTTTTAAAGCGTATAGTTTAGCGTAGTAATATCAATTAGTTTGGATCATTCATGTAATTAAATTTGTAATAGATCTAGACTAACAAATAATAAATCTGTGCGATTAGAAATATTTTTTGTCACTTGTTTTTTTGTTTAGCGCAATTTCATGCTTTTAAATTGCTATGATTCTGTCACTTGTCTGGACCAGTTAGGAAAAGCGTGGAGGACAAGAAAGCGGGAATGTGAGTAAATGTTACCGTGATCGCTTTTTAAATGCATATATTTAAAAAATGTTGAACGACCTGAATTCGAACTTGGGCTTAAGACTCCTCAAGCCAACACTAACCACAGTGCTAGCGAAGTGCTTACGAAAATAGAAGGTCTTGTAGTTATCTATTATTAGCTTCAAACTTTAAAGCAATGACCTATTTCTCTCTAAAAATATAAAGAAGAATAATTAAAGTTATACCACCATATCAGTCAAGTACTATTTCTTTAACCTTGTTCGATGCCAAACAAAATAATTAACTACCAATAGTTAATTAACTAATCGGTTAATTGTTTTATTGATTTTTGTTTTGTCAGGTAAAAGAAATTTTTGGTAAAATTTCAGCTTGATTCAAGATTAAGCGTGGGACAAACTTCATACAGACAGAATTGATCTAAACTTAGTAATAAATAAATAGTCGAACATGAACAGTTGGCGCACCGTCTTATGTAGAAATCATTCTCTGGACGAAAATTAAACTCAATGCGCATATAGTTTTTTGTTTCATTATTTGTAAATGTCATTATCCTCTGGAGGAATCTGAGCAGATGACATAGTTGCCGTAATTGCTGAGCGCCTGAAGACAGAACAAAAACTTTCTCAGATATCCCTCTCGACCTCTGTTTTCTTTTTTTTTTTCTCTCTGTTTAATTTTCTCGCCCTCCCTTTTTTTCTCTTTATTTCTCCCTCTCTTTTCTTGTCTCTACTTTCTACAAACCAAACAATTTTAGATTGTCCTTTAACAAAACAATAAGAATGTAATATAACGCACGTATTCATGTTTTTTTTTTGAAGGAACGTCTTTAATGTATAAGATAATGGCCTAAAGGCAGCACGGAAAGCCAACTCGTAGATACCCCTCCCCCCACTGGTCCACAAATGAGATTGAACCAAAAGCGCTCTGAGCATGCTAAAAGCACAAAAGTAGCGCAATATAAAAGCTATAATAATAATTATAAAGCAAGTAACAAATCAATAGAATCAATAAATTTGGACATCAATTTATTTAATTACTTTTAGGATAATGATATTCTTAATGGATGCCTTTGAGAAGGGACGTAAGCGATGAAATAAAATTCATGAAGAATTATCGATACTCGAAGGTACTGTATAGTGAGATGTGATGTGAAATGGTCTAGCCCAAACCGAAGACCGTCAGTTACTTGGTATCAAGTTTTCTGTTTCATGCCTTGGTTCTGGTTCTGTTGGTAGGCCCTGTACAAGTTGCTCCAGTTTTGTGCTATGATGTATTGCTGGTAGGGTGTCAACATGGGCTGTGGAGGGGGAGGACAAGAAATAGTGATAGTGAGATTAGACAGAGGTGGAGAAGAAGTGGAACATATTTAGAAATGACCCCTCTCTTACCCGTGCTACTTCCCTCCCCTGCAAGACAGCTACACAGAGACTTGTGTTATTTAACAAAATGAATCATGGATCACAGATTTAAAATATTAAAATATATAATCAGAAAACTAAAGCGAAAAGAAGGAAAATTAAAAAAAAAAATACTTTTAAAAAAAATCTTATCTAAGGTTAATAACGTCACATTTACAGCTAAATACGATAATATTTATTTCCATTTTTCGATATGAAACAAAATTATTTAATTACTACTAGTTAACTAACTGATAGGTTAATATTTATTTTATTGATTCATGTTTTGCTAGGAACAATGAATAATTGTGCAAAGTTTCGTCTTGATGCGAGAATTGGAAGTGGGAGAAATGACGTGTTCAAAATTTGTACCAGACAGACAGATCATACATAAGCTTTGTAGTAACTAGCAATTCTCTTCTTATGTTCCATCACTTCTCCTCGCCTTTCTTATTTCCTTAAACCCCCCCCCCCCCCCGACCTTCTTTACTTCTCTCAAAGAAATGTTACAAATTATTTTTAGCTCCAGTGATGTAACCATGACTTAAAGCAGTCTTCTGTTACTTGACGACACATGTGTGTATGTTTGTCACAATTAGAAGCAAAACGATAGTACCTGACCATGGGAACGTGAACTGTCCGTATTATTGGGTCAAAGGGCGTGTGGGAGGAATAAAAAGAAGACGACTCCTTCCAGAAGACCTAGATTTGCATAAAGTAGATGTATAGGTCAGGGTAGAAGCTGGGAGAATTAGCAATCAGTGACGTAGGAGACACAGAACAATCTTTGTAGCCAACTCTATAAGTAACAGATATTTCTATTGGGGTCATTTATCTCTGTCATTGGTCGTTTGGTCTGCAATTATTGCTCATTATTCCTAGTTGTCCTTAGTCTTTGGTGGATTATTATTAATGGCCTATATCTTCATTGTGTTTTCTGTCTTCAACTATATAAAATTGTATGAGTGTTTGCCAAACTTTTCCTTGTGTATTTAGCGGAACACTTTGCTTAATTTCTTACAGCTTCACGCCATGAGGAGCGATCGAGAGATAGTGCTTCTCAGCCTTGAATGGAATTACCACACTCATTGAAGGAGCTCTTAAGGTTGTCTTTATAGTGCTTGTATTGACCACCCCCCCTCCGGGAACGCTTTCCTGCACACAACTCTCCGTACAGAAGTCGTTTGGGAAGGCGATTGTCTGGCATGCGGACTACATGCCCCTCCCATCGAAGTTGGGACCATTTTAGAATGGCATATATACTGTTTATGTTGGACAGCTGTAGGATTTCTGTATCTGGTATGGGGTCAGACCAGTGCACCTAATGAATACCGCGTATATCATATGATTGTGTTGACAATACCACTATCTACGACAAAGAGAGGGGACAGTTGGGAAACCCGTTTTCTCATTTGTCTACATAACCGAGAAAATGTAAGGAATAATAGAATCAGTTTGGAAGAGATTTAAAACAAGAAATGTTTTGTTTTCATGAAAATTTTTCCTAAAATTACTTTGTCACGTGATGAGTTCCCATGTTCCCAGCTCTGGAGAAACCTGAAGACCACCAATCATTCGTTACCTCAACACTTACCATAGACTGTTGGCTGTATGTTACTGGGGCTGTGGATTCGATCCTGTTATCTCTGGGCGGAGCGACAAACGACCGCTGTGACGTAGGGTAGAGATCCATAGGAAAGGGATATAAGTCTGATGGTGGATTACGGCGGTCATTTCCTCTGAAAATAGAAAAATGTTTAGAAAATATAAAGTGTTATGTTTTAAAGGAAGTTTTCTTATTTTATGCTAGTGGTTCTCGGACGTATTTTACCAGCAGAGCCCCAGATCTCAACAGTTTACTTAACTCTGCCTTATGTTATTTAGAGCCCGATTTGTTTTGCTAAACTGTCTATAGACATTGATTTCTTAGGTACTATGTGAATATTTTGTTTTTAGGTAGAACTTTTTTTAATAGCAATATGATATAAAATTAATCATTCACTCATGAACAGACCAGACAATATTAACGAAACTTTTGTATTTATTTTAGAAGAAAAAGTTCTTTCCATGGTTAACATGTATAGGAGTAAATTTAGAAAATCTCAAGATATAAGGATCTTCTAGCCAGATGGTGAGTTGTGTCATCTTAAGTAAACGGTGGTCTTATGCGGCAGGCACCACGACCAATCGCCCTCAACTGATATAAATAAAAATGGTGGGGAGGGCTAGGTGAGCTCAGAGATGTTGTTTTCAAAATAACAGCTAAAAACAATCCCACTTACAATGTCAACTGTTACTTGAACTCACAACTTTTAAAATATTAGATTTGTAAAATACTTTACAGATTTCAGATGTTCCTCAGGATTCTGAAGATAATTAGATCCTAGCCCCAACCTCCCGCAGGACGACATGGGATGGCAGCGCGCAGCGAACCAGAGACTGTAGAGATCATTGAGTGACAGCCCAGAGCAATATACCACAGGACAAAGGCAGTTATCCCCGACCAGGCCCATATCACCACCTCACCCAGCCCCTACACACCCACTTTAACTTAATAGAAACATCAACATCAGATTAGAGAGTGGGAGAGTGGTTAACTTTGTACGTACACTGGCACTAAAAAAAAGGTAAAGTTTCCCTTTCAGACCTTGTGATCTATATGGCAGATGATGTATAGGTCGTCTGTTTCTGTAGCCTACGGCTAGCGAGAGTGTCATGTGGTCAGCACAACGACCAACCGCCTT